ATTATCCACCCCTGCTATTTAAGCCTGGTTCAGACGTCCGCTCATCGCCAGAATGTAGACTCTCCTAAACAGCTCAGGCCTCCTGGTGAATGTTAGTAGTTCCAAAATCTGCCCAGCCACTGCCAACTCCATTCTGCTCAGCTCTGCATACCTCCTGTTCTGCCCTGCCTGTCCTGATTCCTGATTCCTGATTCTAGCCTCAGGATATTAGCTGCTAAGGTTCAGGTTCTGATCTGGGCATTCCAAGTCTGGCAAAGTGTTGTAGTTTCACCTGTCAGCTGTCTACTATTGTTTTGCACACCTGTATCTGCTTGTAGCCCCAACTTAAGCTCTGCCTGCACTCTGCTAAGAATTCTTAGTTCTGGTTTTCCAGCTCCTGTAGGCTACTGTTGGACTTCTGGGGCATTTAGTTTCAGTTCCAGAGGTTTTCTTAGCTGGCGTCCTTAGCTCTATGTGTTTTCTGTTCTGTGAATTCTGTAAATAAACTTGTTTAAATCTCTAAGTTGGGTCTGTGTCTTGTGTCTGCATTCTGGGTTCACAGAGTAGCTGTGCATTAACAGCACCAATATCTGATTTTTTTTTTTTTAGGTCATCAAAAACATCCAGAGTCTGACCTTTGTCAAGCTCTCAACCTGTCTGGACTCTCTGGAAAGTCCAACTGGATGGTTGCCTAATCCCTCATCCAGCAGCAGTATTTAATCAGATGTAGATCCAGTTCTCTTCTCCATCTGCAGTCCAGCAGCTCTTCCCCTTCTCAACTGCTTCTCTTTTTTTTTTTGAGTTCTATCTTTGCTTCAGATATGGCTACAGCTGGTAAGGTAGGTGCAAAATTCTAAATGGGTTTGTGTTTTTCAAAGTGTAACATTGCAAACTAATACATAGTAGGTAGTAAAACGAATCTGTACATTAAACCTCACAAGTGTTCATAAAATGTTTGAGGTTCATTTAGTGGTTACAGTGTGGCTGGGTGCATCTAATGTACCTGCTCATACCTGAAAATGCAATCAAAAAGTGCTTCAGCGCTCTCATGTGTTGTGATTAACTTGCATCTCTTTGCATATGCATGTTTATTTCACTCGACTTGGAGTTAGTAGTGTGGGCTGCAGGGTGGCACAGTTGGTTTGCACTGTTGCCTCGCAGCAAGAAGGTTGCCGGTTTGCGTCCCGGTGGGGGCACCGGAATCTTTCTGCATAGAGTTTGCATG